CAGGCCAGCTGGGGCTACATCTCAAAAAGATTCCCCCCCCAAAAAAAAGAAAAGAAAAAAGAAAGTGAATTGTTGCGGGCATGGTGGCACATACCTTTAATCCCCAGCAGAGGTAGGTTGATCTCTGTGAGTTCAAGGCCAGCCTGGTCTACATGGTGAGTTCCAGGCCAACTGGGGCTACAGGGAGACCCTGCTCCCCTACAAAAAAGAAAGTGAAGCTTTGGGCCTGGAGAGATGGCTCAGCAGTTGGGAACACTGGATGGTCTTACAGAGGACTAGTTTTGGTTCCCAGCACCCACATGGCAGTTAGCAACCATCTGTGACTCCAATTCCAGGGGAGCCATTGCCCTCTGTGGGCACTGCACACACATGGTGCACTTACATACATGCAGGCAAAACATTCATACACATAAATAAAAATCAATAAATTTAAAAAATTTTTAATTTTATGTGTATGAGTGCATTGCTTGCATGTATGTGAGTGTACCTGTGTCGTGCAATGCTGTGGAGGCCAGAAGAGGGCTTCGGATTCCCCTGGAACTGGAGTTAAGGACAGTTCATAGCCTCCATGTGGGTGCTAGGACTCGAACCTGGGTCCTCTGCAAGAGCAGTCAGTGCTCTTAACTGCTGAGCCATCTCTCCAGCCCAATAAATGTTCTTAAAAAGGAGCAAGACTGGTTGGGGATGCAGCTTGGTGTAGAGCACTTACCAAGCATATGGCAGTCCCTGGGTTCAAGTTTCAGCATCAAGCCAGGTGTGGTGGTGCACACTTCTACTCAGTATTTTAAAAGTGGGGGCAGAGGATCAAGAGTTCAAGGTCAGCCTCAGTTACTTAATGAGATAGAGGTCAGCCTAGACTATGAGACTCTGTCCCAAAAACAAAACAAAAAGGCAGGAGATGTAGCTCAATTGGTAAAGTGCTTGCCTCAAAAGTGAAACCTGGGGCTGGAGAAATGGCTCAGCATTTAAGAACACTGGTTGTTCTTGCAGAAGACCCAGGTTTGAATCCCAGCACCCACATGGCAGCCAACAACTGTCTGTAACTCCAGTCCCAGGGGATCTGACAACCTCTTCTGACCTCCATGGGCATTGTACCACACAGGTGCACTTACCTACGTGCAGGCAATACACACATACACATAAAATAAAAATAATAATTTTTTTAAAGTGAAACCTTAGTTTAATCCATAGCATTTCATAAAATGGGTGGGGTGGTACATGCCTGAAATCCCCTCAGGAAGTAGAGGCAGAAGGATCAGAAGTTCAAGGTCATCCTTAGCTACATAATAAACTTGAGGCCATCCTGGGCTACATGAGACTTTGTCTCAAAAAAACAAAACAAAACAAAAAAACAGTGGGTGGGAAAGATGGCTCAGTGGTTAAGAACATTTGCTGCTCTTGTAGGGTTCCATTCCCAGGATCTACGTGGCAGCTAACAACTGTCCAACTTCAGTTCCAAAGGACCTGATGTACTCTTCTGGCCTCCAAGGGCACTAGGTATGCATGTGGTGCATATATACATATAGACATATAGACAAACACTCATACACATACAAAAATTAAAACCTTAAAAAAAAGAAATAGGGCCAGCAAGATGGCTCAGTGAGTGAAGACATTTGTTACCAAGCCTGGCAACCTGAGTTTTATCCCCAGGATCCACACAGTAGAAAGAGGGGACTGACTCTGCAAGTTTTGCTCTGACTTCCACATGCCTACCATTGTACACACACACACACACACACACACACACACACACACACACACACACACATTTTAAATGTAATGACAACAAAATTGATTCCAGGAACTAGAGAGGTGGCTTGGCGGTTAAGAGCACTGGTTGTTCTTGCAGAAGTCCCAGGTTCAGTTCCCAGCACCCACATGACGGCTAACAACTGTCCATAACTCTAGTTCCAGGGAATCCAATGCAGTCTTCTGACCTGCTCTGTGGGCATTGCATGACACAGTGCACTTACATACATGCAATACATTCATGCACATAAAATAAAAATAATAATAAAAAAAATATTTTTTGGTCTTTTTGCCTCCCGAGTGCTGGGATTAAAGGCATGCACCACCATGCCCGGCAATAAAATATTTTTTAAAAATCAATTCCAGGCCAGGTGTGGTGGCACACCCCTTTAATCCCAGTATTCAGGAGGCGGAGGCAAGTAGATCTTTGTAAGTTTGAGGTCAGCCTGGTCTACCTGGTGAGTTCCAGGCTAGGAAGGGTTATAGCATGTGAGACCCTATCTCAAAAAAAAAAAAAAATCAATCCGTTGCTCACAATAAATAAATATCAAGATCTGGAGAGATGGCTCAGCAGTTAAGAGCACTGATCTCGCAGAGGGCCTACATGGCAGCTAACAACTGTCTATAACTCCAGTTTCAGGGGAATCCAACACCCTCTTCTGACCTCCTTGGGTAATGCATGATACAGGTGCACTTACACACATGTAAGCAATACACTTATACACAGGAAACAAAAATAATAAATAAAATATTAAAAAATAAATACTAGCAAGACTAACCCTGACTCTCTCTGATTTCTTGTCTCATCATGCAGTCTCTGCATAATTCCCACCATTCCAATGCCATCCCCCGTGAGACCCTGACTACAGCTCAGCAGTTCTATGTTCTTGGACTGCAGAACTGTGAGCTAAATAAATCTCTGTTCTTTATAAGTACTGAGCTTCAGGTATTTTTGTTATTGTAGTGGAAAATGAACTATCAGTAGAGGAAAGGGAAAACTACCCACAGATGAATGGGCAAATAGTGGCATACAGATACAATGAAATATTATTCAACCATAAAAGGGAATGAAATACTGATATAGGCTACAATTCTGATGAACCACGCTAATGGAAAGAAAACAGATATAAAAGGTCACATTTTGTATGACCTCTATATGAAATATAGATATGCGAAACAGGCAGATCTCCAGAGACAGAAAGCAGAGTAGTGCTTACTAAAAGACCACACTGGGAAAATGGGTGGTAATCACTTAATGTATATTTGGAATATTCTTTTGGGGATAACAAAATATCTTGAAACTAGAGAGAGGTAATACCTGCACAACACTGATGTACTAAATGCTACTGAAGTACACACTATAAAATGAATAATTTTTTTTAGCAGTGCTGGAGATGGAACTCAGAGCCTCACACATGCTAAACACATACTCTGCTACTGAATTGTATCCCTGTTCCCTAAAATGGTTAATTTTGTTATATGAAGTTTTCCTCAATTAAAATAAAATAGCTGGATGTAGTAGTGCATGCCTTTAATCCCAGCACTCAGGAGGCAGAGGCAGGTGGATCTCTGTGAGTTTGAGGCCAGCCTGGTCTACATAGTGAGTTCTTGGACAACCAGGTTGCATAATGAGTCCCTGTCTCAAAAAAATAAAATAAGGTAAAAATAAAATGAAGTAAAATAAAACCCAAAATGTATGATATCCTTCAGGTTAGCTATTGTGGTGTTTTGTGGGGAGTTGTGTTCCACCCTCCATAGAGCTGACCCCAGCTCCTAAGAAGGCAAAGAGACAAATCTTGCTATACTACTGACCTGCCAGGTAAGATGAGCCCCTTGGTGCAATAGTACTGGTACTGTAGACCTAGTCAAAAGCCTGTGACTGGGGAGGTCATAGGCCCTAGTAGGGAAGCTACAGCTCTTTTGCTAAATATCCGTGATGTGCCTGTCAAATTGCCCTCCAATAATTATGTTAATTCCCATAACTTAATGTTACTGTCAGTTTTCATCAGAGAATCTTCTTTTTATAGTGGGAAGCAGTAACCACAGAGATTCATAAATTGGTCTAAGTGCTGAGAATTAGTGTTCAATGCTCATCCCTAAAAGAGACATCTCAGGGAATATCACTGAAGATGCAATGAATGTAAGAGCTGGAGGATGGAGTGTTGTGGAACACTGTCTTCTGGACATGACATGGCTATTGCACTCTTGAACTGATAGTAGCTGTGATTACCTGCACAAGATTGGGCCTGTCAATATCCTATCATGAGGCCCCCACTCCTCCCAGAGGATCTATAGGCAATTAATGGTTTCTGAGAGGGAAGAAATGTTTCTTCAGTTTCTTTCTTTCTTTTTTTTTTTTTTTTTTTTTTTTTTTCAGAAACTTCACTGAGAATTTCATATATGCATATAAGGTAAGGTGTTTTGATCAAATCCATGCCCACTCCCTCCCCTCCAACATTCCCCCCTCTGAAGAGGTAACCCTAAAATCTTTTAAGG